AAACACAATAGGTGATCTCGTTCACAAACCATAGATCCTAAGATTATTTTTTACATCGTTCGCGTGATTTTGTAAGTTGCTGTAGCGGGCTTTTAATCAACACAAATGAAGCTAGTTTAGCTTGTGTATCGTCTTCATATTGAGGCTAGTTTCGATTTTGCTCTTGCTCCCATTATGACCCAGAAAAACCCACAGGCTTGACGAACGACGGTCAGATCTACAGTGGCTAACCTCACGGCAACTCTGGGACATCTGACAGGGGTAGTCGCTGCCATTCTGGAGATAACAGCACGCTACCTTAGAATTACATTCTACCTGACATTTTTATTACCGTTTCGAGTCCAAGACCATAAGGTTAGAAACCTATGTGTTCTATCTGCTCTATCAAAATCATAAGATTATTCCGAGTCGTTATTGAAACTAGACAGACCCGTTCTACGAACGGTGATATAGTGATAGGAAAGCCCAAGATAAAATGTTTGTACCTGTACCTGATTCATTGCCGTAGGACCTCTGTGTAGACAACATTGCTGGTATATGCGCCATCTGGAACTCCGTCCTGGGCAGCAGGTCTGTTTGCATGTGTCCTAATAGAGTCACCCAACACGACTCACTGCGACATATAATTGTCAATGTGAAAAAAATCGCCCTGTAAAGAAACCCCTATCCTTTTCAAAGTCTGTCCCTGGGCTTTGTTGGCAGTCATTGCAAAAGCAGGTCTAAAAAGAAATTGTTTCCGTCGCATATGGAAGGGAAATATGTTCTCTGAAGGCATGAGGGGAATCCTTGGGATGAAAAGTCTCTTTCCGGCATGTGGACGGTAAGCAACGACTACATCAATTACATGTTGACGAAGGTGTTGAAACACATATAGAGTCCCGTTGCAGTGACCGTTTGTGGGATACAACTTTCTCAGCAACAAGACAATGTCAGTTTGTGGGGTGGCATACCTGACGGACATAGAGAATTGATAAATTCGATGGGGTATTGGTGTTCATTTTCTTCCACCGAATCACTGCTCCTGTAGACTTTTTCTTCTTCGGGAAAGGACTGCATTATCAGGTTGTTGATTCTGTCTACTTCTGTGTTGGTGGGACAGATGATGCAGCGGGAAGCCAGCCAGTCAGGATTAATGTTAGGCTGCAAGTTACCGAAGACAAAATTTATCAACTCTCGTTCGCTGTTAACTGTGATGTCATCTGGCAGTTTTATCGCAAACTCCTCGATTTGCTTGCATACGTAGTGTTTGCCATCACGCAATGTTCAGTAGATAGTTGGAGAAATTAGCAGTCTCACCTGTAAGCAAAACCCTCATGTTACTTGTCAGTCTGAGCACATCAACATGCTCCCACAGATATGATGATTTCAGGGTTGCATTGACTATTTATCTTGAGCCATGGCGAACTACTGGTAGTATTTGGCGCCAGTCACCCGACATCAGCACAGTTAGCCCACCGAACAGAGAGTTATTGTTCGGTCTATGACTTTAAAGATGTGTTTGTGGCCCATCGATACTTCATCAATCATGAGCAGCTCTGTTTGGCGTTAATAAAGAGCCACTGGCATCTCGGGGACTCACACTGCACATGGACTGTTCGTTCACACTAAGGGGTATTTTGCATCTGTTGTGTAATGTTCTGCCATTTGAGAGCAGAGTTGCTGCAAAGCCTGACAGAGCTGTAGCAAGGGCGATCTTCTTAAAGGAACGGACAGCCGCAAGAATCAGGTTTATAGTGTGGGTTTCCCAGTCTCTCCTCTTGTCTCCAGGGCAAATATCTTGTCTAGCTTCTGTACAACTGACTCTATCACAGCATTATACACGACTCTTTGTTCTTCATTAAGCTTTGTGTACTCTTGGCTCACCTTCTCTCGCAAGTTTTTTGTGTCAAAATTTAACTCCACGGGGACAATTCTTGGTTGTTCTCCCTCAACGTGACTGTGTTGTAGCAACACTTGGTTCTCAATCTGCGGATTCAACTCTGTGACCTTGTCTCTCATCATTATGTCCCGGCACAGTTCCAGTTTGTGCGTGTGCCAAAATGAGAGAGGATTAGCTGGGCGACAATAGATGAGAATGGTTGTATAGGCAAGACGTAACTGGGGTCCAAATCTTATGGGAGATGCTTATTGCATTGCTGCATCCTTCTCAGCATGCGTCTTGATAAGATGTGCAACTTGATCCATTTGCTCGATGAAGTACAATATGAAACGGAAGTAGTCCCCAGTCAAAGACAACTTATATTCCGTGGACCAATAGAAGCACCTGAAATAGAACTAAGAGGCATACACACACAACAAAACACAAACGGCACTTCTGTTTTTGCTAACTACTAAAAAAAAAAAGTACAAATCTGTGGCAACACACACGACAAATCACAGACCGCACTTGTGTCCGTGTTAACTACTCCAAAAAAGTAGAATTCTGTGGCACACACACGACACAGAACAAATCGCACTTCTGTTCTTACCAACTACTCACACACACGAAGAAGTACAATATGAAACGGAAATAGTCACCAGTAAAATACGAAATGGCTAATGGCAGAGTGAAAACATCTGAGAGCTTCGATTTACAGGAAAAACCATCAAACCTGAAAAATCAAAAGGTAGTTTCCGAACTTTGAAAATATGCCCACGTTACCCTTTGGGGAAATTCTTGTCTGAATCATATTTTTTGTCGATTTTATGGTCACCTGTGTAAAAAGTTTTTTACTGACCCCACAAACAGGCTTAGCTCCATTAAATAAGATATTCAAAGAATAGCACTCGGAAAAACTTGACATGTAGTGAAACTGAACATTTTTACGTCAATTTATCAAAACTAGGTACAGTGTATACTGGTCAAGTGGTTCGGACACCTCACGCGGATGCCCTCAAATCATCCAGCTCTGAGAGCATGCAACATTAAATATTCTGGATGGAGAGCCAGAGGAAGACCAAGGCGACGATGGAGTGAATCTGTGGCAAACACCCTCAGAGCTCACGGGATGTCCCTCCTACAGGCCACTCGCCTTGCTGCAGACAGACGCCTGTGTCTCCCCGCGACACTCCCCCCCCCCTCCCCGGTACAAGCGGAAGAAAAAAGTAAAGTAAAGTAAGGTGTATACTGAGCAGGTAGAATTTTGTCATTCTGAGGTAGCTAGGTGTCAACCTCAAGGCCCTCGGGCCCCATCTGGCCCGGCGGACAAAAATATCCGGCCCGCAAGAAAGTTTCAGGTCGTCCATCCCAAAAGAATCTCTGTCATAATGTTACTTCAAACATTATTTTTTTTTAACGAAACTTGTCGCCAAGAAAAGATGCCAAACATCCAGCTTTAATAAGCTGGCGTTTGAGCGATAATCGGTATGCTTCAATGTATCATCTTAACTTTTGTCATATTATTCTTTACGAAAAGGTTTAGTTTTCCACAGCTAAATAAGTGTTTACCCAGTTCGGCCGGCAATTTTAATTTGAGTTTGGCCCCCTGACCAATTAAGTTTGACACCCCTGCCGTGGATTATGTAAAATCAGGAGGGAATTGCTTGGGAGTATACTGTGCTTTTCATGCACTCTTTCCACAAATATGTGCGGCTATTGAGAAAACACCATAATAATATGTAATATTATCTACGACAGCTAAATCATAATTGGTATGTCGGGATTATTTTAGTAAAGGAGAAAAGAGGAGAGGTTGGGGATGGGGGGGTGAAGAGGAATTTCTGAAATTTCGCTATTGACGTGTTGTTTTTTTAAGTGTGTTCATGTGTAATAGTATCCTCAATGTCATTCTGCTATTAGTCAAGTCATTCTTTAAAGTTTAGACAAAAAATTAAAGAAAAAAAAAATGCCCAAAATCAGATCTATGGCTTGAGCATTCATCATGAACACTGTTCAATTAGAAAATAGACAGGAAATTATGAAACAGAATAAAACTACATGTATAATAAATGCCCTGTGATATCTTTACTCATATGACGCGTTTATCAATCTGGAATCCACCAGAAACAGATTTGAGTTATTAAAACCACAAAATAATATTGTGGAATGAAATGAACGATATCATTCTTAAGAAACATTTGATGTTATATCTTATAGGGAATAGTTTAATTCCTAAAACCAGGCATTGTTATTGAGATATTGAGCAGGAAACCAAAATAGGCAGATTTGCTCTTGACTGTAGTTTACCGGGGGTTCAAGTCTTCAAGACATTTGTGTTTATTTTAGTAAAAGTTTTAGGGCGGTAGCAACTGCATAAGGTCATATGAGCGCATTACAATATGGGATCTGAACTCGAGTCTCTTCTGTGCCAGGCAAAGAGTCTAACCATTACACACAGTTGCTGGTGTCTTATTAAGTAATGGATGTACTTTTGTCCATTTTTGTCTGTCTGTGTCTGTAGTTAAAATGGGAGAAAAAAAATAAAACACTTTGTAATTTCAATATTCTCAGGTCTTTGCACGCAGGTCTAAAAGTTGGAAGGTCAACAGAATCTAAATATAAAACCCAAAAACGCATGCCTATCTATGAAACACAGACTGGAGGGTACTTTTCGAGATGCACATGATGATGTCTAGACGGTCTTGGAAGGGTAAAATTAAATGATTAAACTGAATTGTGGGGACAAAGTGGTGTCGCTGTCTCAAAATGAGCAGTCTGATGGCTAGGTCATACCATGGGTGAAAAAGAAAGGAATTTTTTCGCATTTGTGGACCAAGATTTTTTTACAAAATATTTTTGTTTGCCAGGAGAGCCATGCAAAGTTAGGTCTGCATCAGCAAATCATGACATGAGCTAGAATTTTTTTTTAAGCAGACAGACCAAAATGAACAAACTATAGAGCAAAATCCTATGCTCTGACATAATTTCTTTTCCAAATTTTTCTGAGAATGTTACTACTATTTCTGCCTTCTATAGTCACTGTCAATTACCAGCAGTATAACATTTTTTACTAAAACACAACGACTACAAACTTCATCTAATCAGGTCAACAGCAGTAACAGGGTGGAGGCAAAAACAAAACTTGCAATTGTATAGAATTAATTTAATGAGTGAAACATACTATCAGGTGAGAAGAAAAAAAAAAACTCATGTGGTGCGAAACGAAAACTCATCAGCAATTCCTCTGTCAACCAACTCATGTACTCACAAGGCAATACTAAAAATCTTTCATAAAAAATGAAGAGGAAATGTCAAGACAGTTATGATCCTTCCAGGTGAAAGATAGAAGATACAGGATTTCATAGTACATGCAAGGACATATACATCCATACCTTCTATACTATAGCTGTTAACACATGACTACAGCCAAAGAATGGGTGAAGTACAAGGTACGCCTTGCCACAAAAAGTCTCCTCCACTACAAGAAAAAAAAAATGAGAATGACACTGGTCCCAATAGACACACATGCTTTTTTCATTTCGGAAATATCAATTTCGTAAGTCACTAACTGAGCTTTGCTCCTACCTGTAACATACACGATACATCACTCCTTTATCACAGCCTCCTAGTACCTCTTTTTCTACACAAAGTGCCACTGGCAGTGTCGATGCACTGTTTCAAGCCTCAAACAGAGAAGCGGTCCATCTTATAGAACAATCTAAGCTATGGCATTGCTGGACAAACTCAACTTTTTAAAGTAAACAGTGTTAATGGACTGACTCACAGTATAAATAAAGGTTGTGGATTTCTCTCCAGGCACAGGTGGTTTCATGAGCATAACAGCCTTGGGACAGACAAATTTTGTTGTCTTTCCTCCTTCCACCCAGGTGTGTGTAGGGTGATAGAGCTTGGATAGGACAGGACAATAAAACGAGGAAGTTATGGCTAAACGTGAGATATGTTAGCATCATATCTAGTAGGTGATATCTTGCATTAATAGTCCACTTCCCCATGACCCCAGGAAACACATTGCTGTTTGGCCTAAGATTGTACCAATCTGCATAAGCACATGGAAAGACATGTAAATGAAACAGTCTCTTGTCTAATATATATAATTACATATATATATGTAAATAGTTTTGGCATTCAAATGGAGATGAATTACCCTAGCCATATTTCAATAGAAACATTTATTTTTCTACCATCCTGTGAAGTATAAAGGTTTTACTATCAGCAGTTAATGAGAAATTAGTATTTAAATGACAATGGTGCAAATTTATCATTCTTCATCACAGCCGCTCCACGTTAAAATTTGAGGCAGTGAGGGACCCTTAAAGACTTGCAATTTTTCATAGAGGTGAAATATGGTTGGACTGTGAGAATGATTGCATAACATTACACTTTCACATTCACATTGTCACTACAACACGTAATATACATTTTAGGTATACATTCGGAGGCTATCTAGGCAGAAAAGCGGTCAAAGGTTTTTTTACTGGCTCACAATATGACATTGTCTCTGGTCACAAGAGAATTCAGTCCACTGTTTACACATCAACACACATGCATTGCATTCATCTTTGGCTTTTTCCAGATGGACTTCTCAGACACCCGGTTTACTTTCAAACAGAAAAAGGCAGAATAAAATATCACAACCAATTTTTTTGCTCATAGTTTAACAGGACAAATAAAACGATATTCAATTGCTGATTTGATTGATAAGAATGGGAAAGACAGAAATAAATTGCTTTGACAAAGTAGAAGCCAAAAAGTACAGTTTTGCGACCGGTGACAGAGTCCCGAACCCTAAACACAGCAGGGCAAAGTTCTTCCCCAAAAAACAAAAAATTCTGTTTCCATTCAGCTCACAACTTGCAGCGATCAATATCCACACACACAGACCTAGGATGAGCTTTACAGACGACCGCCTCATTTTCCCTGGAAGTATAAGTGATAACAGAAACTGAACCGGGAAGAACACTAAGCACAACTGATGAAAGCGTGAAGCATTGGCCAATCCTAGAGTTCCTGGCAAGGTGCGACTGACTGCCGCTTGAGAAGTCTTCCTCATCTTTTCTCCAGTGTGGACTGTAAGGGAACCACCAGACTGTCCAGCTCCTGCTTATGGCCCGTCTCCGCCAACCAGATCTGCCAAACCGACAAATGCGAGGCATCGTGGTGAAATCAAGTGCTCGTCAAAATATAGAAATCGAAGAAATCTGCATTTTTCGGCAAGTTTGGAATTTTTTTTCAAAATTTTGTTTTTTGGCTCAGCACCTCTATATCCCTTCAAAAACATTCTTGTGTGTGGATTTGACGGATAAACATCCATTCAAGGCAAGAACAATGTTTAATTTGCAGTTCCCAAGGACTCTGAACTACGGAAGTTCCCAAACTTTGACGGCCATTTTCTCAATTTTTTTACTTCTGAAACAAGGCGACCCCACCTCCTTCAATGGCAAATATCTCGACTTTTATTCAAGATAATGTTAAGCAAATGAACAACCTTTCAGATGACACCTATAACTCCATTTACAAAAAAATTGACGAGCGCCTGATTCCACCGTGTCTAGACACAAATAATAGCTGCATGAAGCATTGATGGTTTGATTCACAACATATGCAGAACATAACTTGATCTTGCTAAGACTAAAAATTCTCCTTTACTAATCCAAAAGTCTCTCAGCTTTATCTCACATCCAGACAACATCTGCCTTCTCTCAAATCCATTTTGATTTTGATCTCATCTGTTCTTGGACCTCATCTTTACCTTAAAGCTTCTGAACAAACAAAATTAGACCAGGACAAAAAAAAAATTCACTTCAGTTAAAACTGTGTTTGTCATACACAAGAGACATTTTTAAAAATTTACAGTAAGAATTTAACGGCACTTGCAACAAAAATAGGTCATACTAGTGCCAAAGATTAGAGGAGTTACTAAATAATTACATACAAAGAAAAGAAGAAGGAGAGATAAGGACGACAGACGATGTCTGATAGGAAAGAAGAAGCAAATCACACCAGGACACCCGCTAACCACCTACAGAGAAGTTTTATAGCTGCCTGTGATCCACAATACCCTGAAGCCGGTGTCTCACCCGCTAGCCAGGGAGCACATGCAAAGGAAACAAATTAATTCCTCCTTTCTCCATGGTACAGTATTTTTTGTATCATTAGTCTTCTCACTAAAGACACTGAAAGGAAGCTGCATTTTCATTATAGCATATTCGTCTGTGCCCTTTGTTATCTTTTGAAACCAAAGTGTGTGTGTGTGTGTCTGTGTGTGTGTGAGTGTGTGTGAGTGTGTGTGTGCATGTTTGTGTGTGTGTGTAAGTGTGTGAGTGTGTGTGAGTATGTATGTGTGTGTGTGTGTGTGTGTGTTTATGTGTGTGTGTTGTTGCTGTTGTTGTTAAAAGGCCTCACAGTGTGCATTTTCTGTCCTTTGATCAGTGAGCTAAGTTGAGTGACAATTCTGTATCATACAACACTTACAGCCTTATAGAGATTAGAGGCTATAAAAATTCCCATCATTGTTATTAATATTATTATAATCATAGGGTAGTAAATACTGCAGCTTCCCATGCAGCTTGACGTTTCATACATTCGCCATAGTTGGCTACATCAAGTGAAAAGCTGATACACAGATATCACACAACAAGGGGAGCCTTTAACTCACTGAGTTCCAGCCAGTATTTAGGAAATCTTCAATTCCAGTTATGAAAATGATCCAACTAAAGCTTAGTACAAAAAGTGTAGGGAACTATTAGATCGTAGTCAAAAAAAAAAAAAGCGAAATCCCGACCCGATGTATGTTCCGGATCAGGACAGAGTCAATAACCAGTCTATGTTTAGGACCAGGGCTCAGTGAATTTACACAGTAAAGTTTACGTACGAAAAACCTGAATTAACTAAGTGGTGACGATATCCAATAAAATATTACCAGGTCATTTAAGATTGTAAAAAAGTTTGAGGAAAGGCGCTGCGACCTACATGAAAGCGTGACTCAACCAGGGCCTGGAATTCTTTCCTCTGGTCGCGGGTCAGTCCAGCGTCCTTGACCATGTGCTGCCAGGTGTCAATCTGCTTTTGCCGCTTATTCAGTTCCTTCTGATACCGGCTGGGGAGGCTGCACGGGAGTGACTGGAAAATGAGGGCAAAAGGAGAACATCCAGTAACAACTTACAATTATCTGGGAAGAGTCTTGCTCATGTTGTAAAACATTTCTTCAGGTTATTCAAGGGATGACAACTCACAACCATTACACGAGTCCTAGACTACATTTAAAATACAGCTCGACACATAACACATACACGGAAAACTCAAAATCAAAAATAGCGTGTACAATGTGTCATCCCCGACCAATATCATTTTCATTTTTCCTTATCAGTCATCCAAAATTATGGGTGAGTAGAACACGTTTGTCAATCCTCTATGTGTTTATCAGCGCCATGGACTGTACTTTATACAAGTCTAGCTACACTCAAACTACAGCAGGCTATTCAAAAGCTTATACCAGCTTATGGGTTTCACAGAAATCAAGACACTTTATGTTATTTAACCCTAATCTCAGAGAGAGGGAGGAACAAACATTAAAAGACTTTTTAAAAATTGTAAGCAAAAACCAGAACAAGAGAAAAGTGAAAAAATGGGATTAAACGAAATAGATCAAACCACTGCTGCAAAGAACAATGCAAGAACATTCTAACATTAAGTCTTTTATCCAATTGTAAGCAAAAACCAGAAAAAAAGATAGGTGAAATAAATAGTTCTTGACAAAATCGATCCCGCCAAAGTTGTTATAGAACAATGCAACAATGGTCAAACATTAAAAATCTTCTTTCCAATTGAAGGCAAAAACCAGAAAAAAAAAGAAGGGTGAAAAACCGGGGCTAAACAAAATCGATCCAGCTACAGCGGTACAGAACAATAGAAGAACGCTCCAACTGCAGCAACCGGAACACTAGACAACACTTACTTTGGTACTGCCCTGTATCTCAAACGGCACGGAGAAGGTGTAGAATTCTGTCTCCGGCAGGATTTGCCACACGGGCTGGTCATCTCGGTGGTCAGGACCTGTATGCATGGACAAAACATCGAGAAATATTTCACAACAGCGAATATTCAACCATCCATAGGTGCCTCCCCCCCACCCACCCATTCCAAATCACGTATCTGTGCACATCCCATCCAACAAATGGTCCAGGAATTGGAATTTGATAGTTACCCGACTTGGTAAAAAGTATGTCAAAATACATAGTACCATCCTTGTCCACCCTGTGACATTCAGCGATGCAGCCTATTATGAGCATACAAAATAATTATCCTTCACAACCAGCCTCAGCCGACAGTGAAATATCCATTCCAAGAGAGGGGAAAAGAAAAGAAGACAGAAAACAGGAGGGATAATACCTCCTCGAAAAATAGGGCAGTCTTCCAATGTCAGACACAAACACTCTCTCTCTCTCTCTGCCCTTCCTCCCTCCTTCCCTCCCCCCCCCTCCCCCCAAAACCACCCATCAATACAGAGCGGATGATCCCACAGGTTCTCTCTCTCTTCCTCCTTCCCCTCACTCCTTCCTCCCTCCCTCTCTCTCTCCCTCCCTCCCTCCTCCCCCCTTCCTCCCTCCCTCTCCCTCTACCCCCCTCCCTCCCTCTCACCCCTCCCATTAAAAAGACACGCCAACCACCCACAATACAACCCTACAGATTCGGCAACACCCCTTTGCCAGCGCGGGTCATGTGCTCTTTCCGTATCTTCTCTCCCACATCCTCCCTCCCTCCCTCTCTCTCCTTCCCTCCCTCGCTTCTCCCCCCTCTCTCTCTCCCTCTCTGTCTCCCTTCCTTCCTCTCTCTCCCTTCCTTCCTCTCTCCCTTCCTTGGTCTCTCCCAAACGACCACCAATACCAAGCGGCACCACCCCGATGCCGCCCCACGTCATACGCTCTCTCTCCTTCTCTCTTCCTCCCTCCCTTCCCCTCTCTCTCTCTCTCTCTCTCTCTCTCTCTCTCTCTCCTTCTTTATATACACACGTCAACCACCCACAAAGCAGAGTGGATGATCCCACAGATTGGGCCCCACCTCTATGCCATAGCATGTCATGTGCTCTCTCCTTCCCTCTCCCTCTTCCCCTCCCTCCCTCATTCTCCCTCCCTCCCTCCAACACACCCACCAATACAGAGCGCCTGATCTCACAAGTTGGGCACCACTCCTATGCCAGCGCACGTCATGAGCTCTCTCTCTGTCTCTCACTCCGTCCCTCCCTCCCCCATCCCCACCCCCTCTCCCACCCCCTCCTACGCACCAATACAGAGCGGCTGATCCCACAAGTTGGGCACCACCCCTATGCCAGCGCGTGTCATATGTTCCTCCAGTGAGGCGTAGAACGTGTGATACGGTGCCAGCATGATGGTGTCGTTGCCGCTCAGGAGCAGCGGGCGGTGCGGGGTCAGTAAGTACATGTTGCATAGAGTCGAGCCACTGCGGAGGAAATAGAAGGGTATTTTTAGAAATTATAATTCACAAATTGTTTAGCACGATATGAGGGTTTGTCGGTCTGTGAGTATTTATTTTTGAACACTACACAGAGTATACATCAGATGATGATGATGATGATAATGATGATAATGATGATAACGATAATAAAATAATAAACAAATTAAATTACATTTATTGATCCCCTAGGATAATTTGAGTTACAATGGCAAACATACATACAAATATATATATATATATATATACAGTACATAATTATAAATACATACATACATAAATACACAATATTACACCACTACAGAACAATTTCACAAACATGCCATTGCTGGTCCCCACTGTGCAGCACCCTGTTTTTTTTAGCTAAGGTTATCGTGTCTTGCTTAACGACACACCCAAGTGACCACCTACCTAAACCCAGTGATGATGATAATAATGATGACAATGATGATAATGAAGACAATAATGGTAATGACATTAATAGAAATGATGATGATTGTCATGATGATGACAATGATGATGATGATGAAGCAAGACATCTGGCAAACCTGATCATAAAGTGTCGACACGGGGCTATCACCGTGACGTTCTCACAGCCACTGACATGCACCGTCGCTTCCACAGGACCAAGTATTAGCGTCGTGTTGCGGCATTTCTCTATCGTCACAGATCTGATGCGAGGTAAAGCAAAATTTTCATGAGAGTTGAGGCCATGCCCGTGAGCCATACAGTCACATGCCACAGCTTACATTAGCAGCCGCAACCTGCTACATTCATTATAATAATAATAAATTACATACATAGAGCACTCAACCCCGATTTAAGTACACAGGCTCTGAGCGCTAAGTGATAAATAAGGGAATATTCTACCAAAGTGTGTGAGCGGTCCACATCACCGCAGGCTCTCAGCAATATGCGTCCTTAGGCTTTTAACACCATGACACCCAGTTTTGAGAAAATAGGATTCAAAGATTCACACTTTTACGGCAAAAATGTTTTTACATCCTTTTCAAAGGTCAGATTGTCTAGAGCCTTTGATACAGTGTGCTGGGCATCTGTGTCAGTAATGTGTTATGTGTAACTTGGTTTGCAGAAAAATGGAGTTAAAAACTTAGGAGAGTGTATAATCACCAAAATACATATACACAAACACACACACACACACACACACACACAAACAAACACACACACACACACACACACACACACACACACACACTAATACACCACCTCACGTCAACCAGTACTCACCTAAGGGGAGACAACAAGTACAGGAAAGAGTGGTGGCTGCGGTGGATTTTCACGGTGCTCATCTCCAGGGTGCCAGAACTCTGAAGCAGAAAAACTCATCATCTTCATTTGATTTTAACGACTTACAAAACACATAGTGGTCATTTCAAGGGAGCAGATTACAGTAGCCAGGGATTTGCTTTGGTAAGAGTTTTACAGCACTTGCAACACAATTAGGTCACATAAGTGCCAGGATCAATCTAAACTATATTCAATACCAATAAAATACCAGGGTGATAAAAAAAAAATAACTGTACAACTTTTTTTCTGAATATCTCACACAAAAATAGTTCTAGAATGCTGTAATTTGGAACAGGCATAATTAATTCAAAAGGAATATGTTTGACATAAAATCCACGAAGAAGAAACTTATTTTGAAAACGGAAATGGTTGAAAGAAAAAAGGCACCCAAAACGCAAAGTTCCCCAATTTTTAAAAAATCTTGTAAAGGAAGTCGTGAAAAGATTAGTTGACTTTTTTCATTATTTTCTCTTTAACATTTAATTTTCCATCCCAGAAACATTAAACAATATTTAATTTCATGTACAGAGTTAAAAAAACTAACAATTTCATTCTAGAATTCCTAGAAGCAGAGCTCTACATGTGTTCCTTTGAACTTGACAAATTTTTAACGCGTCGTTCGAAATGTTCAATGGCGCCCAAACACGGGGACCTGCTAAACCATGAGTGTTTAAAGCCACATACACTGTACATATTCAATACGAAGTGGCTCCTAGAGACAAAAGGGAAAGGGGAGCCCAACAGACAGCATTTTTGGAGTTAACATATCGCGCAGGGTGAAAATGGGCGTTGCACTAAACCAAACGTCATCAAGGAAATGATCCCACTTTTCAAGAAAATCGAGGAATCATGAACACATCGCCATGCTCTGATCCAAGTCATGTCGGCCTAGCGAAGACAAAAATGGTATAGTCGTAGGTTAAGATCAAATTTGCGTTGCTACTCACCCTTGCTATGGTTTGTTTGCTGACTTGACTCATGATGATCATTTTGTTTCTGAAAGGAAAAAGTTTAAGAAAGTAGTCAGTTTTGGATCCGGTACATTTCAGAATTAGACAACACATAGCCAAACTTTGAAAAGGCTAGTTTTACAGAAAAGTATATTCTATACAAATGGTTTGTTTAATAGAATAAATAAAAACAATCATTTCAAGTAAAACATGAAACAGACAGACAGAAATGACAGAGGGAGAAGATGAGAGGTGAAACCTGTCAGTAGCACCTTCCACACACCCACATAATACTTTCAGACATTCAAACAAGTTCATTTACTCTAACAAGTTCAGTCGATAATAGAGGCAGTCACAGACAGGGTAACAAAGAGAGAGAATCACGATGCAAATGAGCCTCCGATTTTGGAAGTTTTCAAGGCTCTCCTGCAGCTTGGCTCTGTCCTTCCTGTGATGGTTGTTCTGTTTTAATTGTTTCAGTAAGAGTTTCACAGCACTTGCAACACAGTTTGATCATAGTATAAGTGCTGATGATTAGAAATTTTACAAGAGAGTAGCATACAGAAAAGAAGGAGAGATATAGACGATAGATGTTTGGTAAGGTAGAAGGAGCAAACCTCACCAGATCACCCACCAACCACCTAGATGGATTTTGAAAAAAGAGATCCCGCCTCTTAAACAACTTTCCAAAACGGCCATGAAGCCCATACCATACTATAGAATGCGAAGGGAGATAAAATATAATACAATTTGAAAGCTTAAAGCGATCATATGTTCACCCTTTCACATGCTCTTTCGGCACAAGGTGCGCATTGGTAGCAATCTTCCCTCTCTTGTGGCTCTGTTCTGCTTTGTGATCTTCACCTGTGGAAGAAATCACAATAAAGATGCACAACATATTTTTTCAGGGTTTGTTAAGTTGTTTTCACTTGGTATAAGTCTAGTATCTTACTTGAAACGAAAAGACCATTCCAAAAGTAGAACATTTTTAAAATATTTTTTATAGTAGAGGGTTTTACGGCGCTCGCAACTGCATAAGGTCATATGAGCGCCAAGGGGTGGATGTCAACAGAGAAGTCTTTACAGGGAATCAGACTTATTCTGCTCACCTCTCTAGCTTCAACAGTACAAAGTCTGCTTCGACTATCAAGGCACCCCAAAAATAGCAGGTCACAAGAGAGTGACAAACATACAAAAGAAGTAGAGGAAAAATGACAATAGTGAGGATTAGGAAAGAAAAAGCAGCAGTTCCCTGTTGTAGATCAGGCACAGTTATGAGCTTGACATGAATCAGCCCATTTACAATTCTACTATGCTTGAAGGAGAAATGTCCCAAAGACACTACAGTCAGTGGCACTGCCCCGGGGGGCATAGAACATTTTGATAGCAGTGAAAGTAAATAACAAGCAAGAAAGAAGGGAGGGTGGCAGAAACATTGCACAAACATAATGCCATATCAGAATATCTTAACACCATTCAGAGAGTCGCTGTACCTCTGTTCGTCAGTAGTTTGTTATTTAGAGGATTTTTATGTTCCTAATCAAACAATTTTCAAAAGTCAGAATTTTTTTCATGGTTTCTTTTTTTTATGCCAACCCATTTGATAATCATGTTTCATTTCAAATTTCTGAACTTTCAGATCAAACAAGAATAAATGTCAACAACGATGTTTGACTTATTAGAGTACAGTAAAATGTGTGATGGACATAGATGAATAGGATGTTTCAAAACACATCTATAATCTCTGATCTCCCCCCCCCCCCACCTTTTCATAAAAGCTTATTGCCAGGAAAAACTGTAAAAAGGGGAATCATTTATTTAAAAAGGCATTAACAATGTTATCAAACTGCATGTATAAGTTACTCGAGGACTTTCAGCTTTCATATACTAGAAAACCTTGCAAATGTCAGAAACACAGAAATGAGAAGAGGTGTTTGACAAATTCCTCAATCAAAATGAAGACATCAAGGAAGACTACGATTAGACCAGCACCATCACTGACTCCTCACCGAGAAAAGGCCACGATAGTCTGGTCCCCGACGCGATGCACGCTGACACGTTGAACGGATTTTGCACCAGGCTGTCCTTGACCCACAGAGTGAACTGACGTGAGGAGAAGGTCTTGGCAGCCTGACAGGAACACGGAAAACATACAGTAAAGTCTCCTCATAATTGTATGTCATGAGTACAAGTTGTGGAGGTAAGTCCCTTCCAAGGGGCTAGAGTGCCGATAGGTTACATGTGTAGTAACTATAAACGGAAGTGTCAAAGTTATGACTACCAGTGTCTGTTGTGTAATGGTTACCCTCTTTGCATTACATGAAAGAAAACCCATCTCCCCACGAGTTCCATCCCCATGTGGTAAACATTTTATAGAGTATCTCCGTCTTTCTGCTTGGACGTAGTATCACACTCAGCCACAGTTGGCCCTGACAAGAACAAGAAGAAACAGCCAGCAATCTAAATGACCTAAATCATGTCAAATGGGGTGTTAAACATTTCCAACCAATAAATCTATTAACATCTGTTTATTCATGTTTGTTCAAACAAGGACCCCGATGCTTTAAAACAAGAAAATCAGAACTCTGAAAATATGGGTAGTTCTAATGGGAGTTTTCCAGCACTGAACAAGCAAAAAAACATCAATGAGGACTTATCAAAACTCACAGAATTATTGAAAATTCCTCAACTATTCATAAATTCCGTAAGTATAGTCGAACCTGCTCTAATGACCACCAGTCTAAGAGAATCACCAATATAAACGACAACTTCCCGATCCCCCCTTTATATTTTTTCGATATTATAATGACACTGTCAAATAAGGCCACCTGTCTAATATGACCACTTTTCTCCTCAATAATGGGTGTTCCCACTGGACAAGTTTAACTGTATTCATATGAATAGGACAAAGCAAACAAACCACTTTCAACAATTACAATGTTTCCCTTCCCTCAAAGACTAAAGTCTGCCAAACTGTAAGGTTTGGGATACGATAACGGTTAGGGGTCAGGTAGAACAGACAAGAGCTAGGATGAGGGAGGGGCATGAAGGCCGAGGAATCAAAGACAGAAATGTTTTAAAAGAGGGAACTCAGAAATGTCCACTGTAAACTGAAAATCAAAAATATAATGTCATCTCTAGCCAGTTCTACCTGGTCACTTCCGTAAGAGTCAATAAATAATTAGTGCAGAATTAAAACCTACCTTGTTGAAGCCACTTCTGTGCTGAACAGTCTGAAGGCAGGCAAGATCTTGAAAGGGAATCAGAGCCCTTGAAAGAACAGAATAAAATAAAGAAAATTAAAATATGAGCATGAGTGCATCTGTGGTTTAATTAATAATCAATATCAACATCAGATGGAACTGGTAGCTACCCTCATGGTACTACTTCTGAGAGAGAGAAAAAGAGAAAAATAGTGTAACAAAGAGTGAAAAAGACTGTTGGTATGAAGAATGGAGTTTATTGGAAGTCAATGCAAAAAAGACTCGATTTCAGCACATCAGGTGATACACAAAACAATCTTGAGACATGAATGATATATCTTTATAAAGACAAACTTCCAGGTAGAATAAAAACAAAGGGATGAGATAAAATACAAAGAACAAAGCAACCCTTTAATACAAATGAACGACAAATATGTAGAAAATTTAAGTCAGTGACAGGGCACCTCCACGCCCCACACAAGTCAACTCACTGCGAAGACTCTAGTCGGCCAACAAGGATGAAGCTGAGAGCTTCTACTGCTTCCAAAGACAAAGAACTCGTCTGTTGGGATGCCACACCCACTCCGGACATCTTTGAATCTATATAAAAAATACCACAAAACAAAAATTTTTAAATTATTCAAACAGCAAAATAGAAATTAACTGATTTTTCTACCAAAATCTGGAAATCAAAAAAATAGTTAAGAGGTCTTACAGCATGTGTGTTATGACGCGGTGGAATCAGGCGCTCATCAATTTTTGGGAATGTAGAGTTATTGGTATCATCTGAAAGCTGATTTATTTGCCTTGCTTCCAAACAAATAAATATCCATTTATCTTGAATAGAACTCAAGAAGATATTTGTGATTGAAGGAAGTGAGGTCGCTTGGTTTCAGTGGTGAATTAGCGAAATTGGCTGCCAAAGTTTTGTAACTCCAATAGCTAAAGAATCTTGGAAAACTGAAAAATGACATACTTTGCGCCTTTAATCAATGTTTTTCAGTAAAATCCAATTGAAATTGAGTTTTTAAAAGGACATAAAAGAGGTTAAGCCGAAAATTAAAAATTCGATACAAATTTTCAAACTAGCGGAAAAATGCCTATTTCTCCGATTTCGTAATTTTGACAAGCGCCTGATTTCACCACACTGCCTGACATAAGGTTCTAATCACTGATCATGGGAACGTAAAAGTTGCCCCAAAGTGAGCCACTTCAGTGTTGATGTCCAGTTTGAATACACTGAAAGCTTTCTGACAGATATACAGTAATTATATCTTTACAATATTCATAACAGCACAAATAAATTTGATCATTTCAAGTCAAATGTGAAAGTATCATATCATGAACAAAGTCTACGGACTGAAAAACAAAAAACAACACACCAAAGGAAAATGTTTAAACAAGAATATGTAATTAGTAACGTTTTTTTGTTAACCCATACAATACGGTTCATTACTTCAAAGGCTGTTCTTAACACAAGGATCAAAAATGTTCCTTCCGCTTGGATAACAACAATGAGTGACTTTCAGGCTCACATGTGTTTATATCTAACACACCATGTTAGCGCAGGCAGTGACCTAGTGGATAGGTTTTCAGATTCACAACCGTAAGGTTGTGGGTTCAAATGCCATCAGGGGCCCAAGGTTGTGTCCTTGGGAAAGGGACTTTTCGTACACTTTCCTCACTTCACCCAGGTGGAAATGGGTACCAGGCTATAAACAGCAAAATATCTTGCCAGTTTTTTAGTATTTTAACTCATTCGCTACGCCGAGCTGTGGGGGGGGCGGCGTGGCTAAAGTGCCGTCAGTACGCTAAGCTGCTCCAGGCGGCTCGACAACCGATCTTCAATTTTAGCTTAGATTCTATTCCAATCCACATATCCATGTTAAAATAAAGGTCATAATATAATGTTGACTTCCGGGTCAAGCATTTCCACTGAAAATCGAAAATTTAGATTCAGTTTTGAAACGCGATTTCGTAGTTTATTCGACTTTTTTCGCGACGCCAAAATTATAGCCTGGACACCAGTCTTAGTAATTTTACACAATAAAATCTATCATTATTTAGATCTAAATAGTCAAAATATTTTTTCTCCCCAAAATCACTACTTTTTGATGAAATTACACAAAAAGTGGCACTCAAGACATGTATAGGTTTATTCAAAATGCAATTCTGAATAACTCCTTATAAGATACGAGTGGGGGGGTTTTTCTGTTTGTGATCATTTTTCAAGATTATAAAAATTTTTTTTTTTTTCAATATCGGATGTTATGATCCAAATATACAAATATTATGGAATGTATGTAAATAATTGTAAAAAAAACTTTTCAATATTTTCCAGTTTTATATTCATTTACGGTTATTTTGATGTTTCATTTGACTAGGTGCAAACATATTTTTTGAGTTTCACAAAAGATCATTAATCTTTATTTTCAAATTTTATCCGCATCCGATCAAAATTGTGTTGCATAATCGTCTCTTAAAGGAACCAAAGTTGAAAAATACATAAATAAACATTACAGATGTATTCTACAAACCATACTGAAAATATTGTATATAATCCGTTGATATTAATTTGAATTTGTGGCCCCAAAGCCCTTTTAACTGCCCACTAGTCATTATCTCATTCGCCCTTAAAAAAAAATTTGTCCACAAGCCGAAAATAATACGTAGCGAATGAGTTAACTCGTGTAATCCACAGCTTGCACTGCATGCTTCTAGGGTCTGCTGGGATAATAATAGTTGAAAAGCATATAGGGCGTGTTGTAGATCATGGATATGCACTTTATAATTGTAATTATTATTATTATTATTATTGTTATTATTGTTATTATTATTAATAGAATTATTATTAACAGTGCACATCACTGTACCTTCCTCCGCCAGGAGGTCCACCAGTTCTCCGATGTTGTTCTGTACAAACAACAGATGGCTGTGATCATCCAGAGACTGGAATAAAAACAAAGACAAGGTGACGGTCCCTTACAGGAAGTTCAGATCATCCTGCAAAACAATCAACACACATTTTATGAATCAATCTTATCCCATCTCTGCATCACATGTCAGCACAGTGGTCATCCGCTTCTGACTGCCTATCTCCACAGCAACTAAAACTGAAACATTTTTCACACTAAACTTTTCCTTTGAATTAATTTCAGCCCCTAATACTTAAGAAACAACTTGAAAAGTTTTGTACCTGCAGTAACACGACCATACTTGCTACAAGGTATCAAAAACAAACCAAACTTTGCAGACTACAATCTGAACGTCAATATAAAATCCACATTAAACTCCAACAATCTCATGAGAAAAAACAATATAAATACACAAATTGACAGAGACTGTTGCAGCCTTTTACCTTGGTTGTACCTCCTCGAGGCGTACATCTTCCATCAAGATCACATGTTGAGTTTGAGCTGGACGCACTCGGCCATCTGACAGCGTTCAGGAAATTGGGACCACAAAACTTGATACAAAAAATATCAATTCCAAGAATTGTACATGTGCTTAACAATCATCAGTTTTGTAAAAGATGAGTACCCTTTGTCTTTCGAATGTCTTATGGTGAATATCTGGATGGCTGAATAAACTTCTCAACTCTAATTTCATTGTCAATTTGTCTTGTCCCTTTGAATGTTTATTCCATATAAAGATGTTTCACTCATCACAGATAATCTTTCACTTTCATACAATATTCATTTATTTTCAAGTTGCAAATGCAAAACAAAATCACATTAACTTTGTCACCTGATCACAAATAAACAGAATATTAAATAAAAAGCCTTTTTTCAATTTCATTAATGAGAGGAAGTCAATCAAAATGAAAGCTGTTTAACAAACGGTAAGGGTTGGCATATAATTCAGTTTATGGGTCAGGATACAGGTCAAGTTTGTGCAGTCAGTAGATTCAATACATGCCCAGTGATGGGTATGGCATACAGACAAACAAGCTAAAAAAGAGATGTGCCCTAAAAGAGAAAGTACAAGCACTTTTGTTGCAAAGTGAAGGTGAAAATGACAAACGACAGCAGAACTGTATAAGGAAAAGGATACTCATCGCCGGCCACCAGAGAGGTTCTGAGCGACATGCGGTACAACTGTTGCATGCTGAGGTAGATAACAAACTTGTACAGGTTCACCGACTCCTGGCAGCGAGCTTTTCGTGGTGGATGGAGAATGGGAAAGTAGAAAATGATGAGTGCCAAGGATTGAAAACACAAATAATCAAAGTACTTTTTTTCAAAATGAGTATTATAATTCCTTCAGCATTAACAGGCCAGAAAATATTTTACAGGCTCAAACAATAATGACAAACAAATTAGACATATTACAATAATGTAACAAAACTACAGATTCTTTTCTGAGCAGAGTCTATCCACTTGTCTCATCCAAACGCTGGCACATTTGTAAGATTTTGCAGAGGTGCATTTCCACAGAACCTTTACTACACCCTCCCCCCCCC